GGTGATTATATACCTCCAAAAGAAAGCTCTATCTGTCCCCAAACTTTTTTAACATAAATTGCAAGGCTATAGTCCGGTCATGCTGACTGGTGAAATTTTTGACTGACTGGTGAAACACCGTCAAATTTTTCAAGCCCTGTATATATATATATAAAAATATATATAATGTGTCTGTATATACAGGGCTCAAAATTTCAGGTCCTGAGCTACTAGCCAGGCCTTAAAAGTTACTCGCCACCAGTTGCCCTGCCTGATCCCACTCCATCCTATCCTTCTTGTGCACAGATGTACCAAGTGTACCTGGGAACAGACTAATCATTCTCTTACTGGACCAATACCGGGCATAGCACAAACACACACAGGGCACAACATACACAGCACAACACACAGGGCATTACACATATGCACAGCACAACACATACGACATACGCACAGCACAACACACAGGGCATACGCACAGCACAACACACAGGGCATACGCACAGCATAACACACAGGGCATATGCACAGCACAATGCACAGGGCATACGCACAGCACAACACACAGGGCATACGCACAGCATTACACACAGGGCATTACACAAAGCATAACACACAGGGCATTACACATACACACTTGATCATATTAATCAATACATTCATGTGTCACCATACACATTCCAAACTATGGATCCTGTGGCACAGTAAGGGTTAATCACGGCTCTAACATCTGCAGGGTTTACTTACAGTTACAGCAGAAAGCTCGGGTTTCAGAGCCACAGCCGGGTTGCCCAGGGAACACTGACGCTAGCTCTCTGGGAAGCTTGCACTGAACATGTGCAAGCAGCCACGACAGCTGCTGCGCTCTGAGGAGCTGCTCTTCCGTTCTGTGGCTGGACGAGCACAACAGCTGCCTCTGTCCATGACAGTGCCAGACTCAATAGCTTAATTTCCACTTGCCCCCACGCAATTTTGACGAGTTGAAATAAAATAGCAGTGGAAATACTGTATATAGACGTTGTTTACATTTGATGATCTCTTTCAAACAGATGACTCAAAGAGCAGTGATTTCGGAGAAGAGCCGTACATTATGACTTGTTCCCCTGGGGAGATAGTAGAAGAGGACAAGACTATCTTACATGGTTCCCAAGCAGAGGACAGCGAAGGACCCTTGCCCTGTGAGTCACCAAGCCAGGCAATGGAAAATCTTGCTTATTCTTCTACGTCCGGTCAGTGCGAAGAACAAGCCTGGAGTGACTACGAGAGATATGTTGGAGATCCCAGTTACACATCGGGAGAGCCTCTTCAAATTAAGGAAGAGGGCAGCCAGTTTAACTACAACTATAGTGAAGAACCAGCCTTTATAGATCCAAATCCCACCCATGAAGAACGTAGTGAGCTCTTTGACACCATGAATAACCTTCTCATCCACCAAATCACATTTGGCCAGTCTTCTTCGGTAGACAAGCCCTATGCTTGCAACCATTGTGAGAAGCGATTTGCTAAGAGGTCGCACTTGGGAATGCACCTTAAAACTCACACAGGAGAGCGTCCTTATGCCTGTCCTGACTGTGGCAAAAAGTTCACTAGGAGGTCAAACATGCTGACGCACTACCGTACCCATACTGGAGAAAAGCCATTTGCTTGCCCCAAGTGTGGCAAGAGGTTCACACAGAGCTCTCATATGGTGACACACCAAAGGACGCACTCCTCTGACAAATTCTACAGTTGCCCCGAGTGTAAGAAACGCTTTACTAAGTGGTCCTACCTGAACTTCCACCTCCGAACACATGGAATAGAAAAACTGAGTGTACCCTGACAGTTGCTGGGCTGCACCTGTTTCACAGACCAGCAGACTTAAATCTATCCATTTGTTATATGCTAAAAAAAAGTTTAAGGTACGCCCCAGTTAAACATGAAAATGTGTAATTTGAACAATGCAAACTTCATGCTGAGTGTCATTCATTTTCACCACCATTGGTGATTATATACCTCCAAAAGAAAGCTCTATCTGTCCCCAAACTTTTTTAACATAAATTGCAAGGCTATAGTCCGGTCATGCTGACTGGTGAAATTTTTGACTGACTGGTGAAACACCGTCAAATTTTTCAAGCCCTGTATATATATATATAAAAATATATATAATGTGTCTGTATATACAGGGCTCAAAATTTCAGGTCCTGAGCTACTAGCCAGGCCTTAAAAGTTACTCGCCACCAGTTGCCCTGCCTGATCCCACTCCATCCTATCCTTCTTGTGCACAGATGTACCAAGTGTACCTGGGAACAGACTAATCATTCTCTTACTGGACCAATACCGGGCATAGCACAAACACACACAGGGCACAACATACACAGCACAACACACAGGGCATTACACATATGCACAGCACAACACATACGACATACGCACAGCACAACACACAGGGCATACGCACAGCACAACACACAGGGCATACGCACAGCATAACACACAGGGCATATGCACAGCACAATGCACAGGGCATACGCACAGCACAACACACAGGGCATACGCACAGCATTACACACAGGGCATTACACAAAGCATAACACACAGGGCATTACACATACACACTTGATCATATTAATCAATACATTCATGTGTCACCATACACATTCCAAACTATGGATCCTGTGGCACAGTAAGGGTTAATCACGGCTCTAACATCTGCAGGGTTTACTTACAGTTACAGCAGAAAGCTCGGGTTTCAGAGCCACAGCCGGGTTGCCCAGGGAACACTGACGCTAGCTCTCTGGGAAGCTTGCACTGAACATGTGCAAGCAGCCACGACAGCTGCTGCGCTCTGAGGAGCTGCTCTTCCGTTCTGTGGCTGGACGAGCACAACAGCTGCCTCTGTCCATGACAGTGCCAGACTCAATAGCTTAATTTCCACTTGCCCCCACGCAATTTTGACGAGTTGAAATAAAATAGCAGTGGAAATACTGTATATAGACGTTGTTGACATTTGATGATCTCTTTCAAACAGATGACTCAAAGAGCAGTGATTTCGGAGAAGAGCCGTACATTATGACTTGTTCCCCTGGGGAGATAGTAGAAGAGGACAAGACTATCTTACATGGTTCCCAAGCAGAGGACAGCGAAGGACCCTTGCCCTGTGAGTCACCAAGCCAGGCAATGGAAAATCTTGCTTATTCTTCTACGTCCGGTCAGTGCGAAGAACAAGCCTGGAGTGACTACGAGAGATATGTTGGAGATCCCAGTTACACATCGGGAGAGCCTCTTCAAATTAAGGAAGAGGGCAGCCAGTTTAACTACAACTATAGTGAAGAACCAGCCTTTATAGATCCAAATCCCACCCATGAAGAACGTAGTGAGCTCTTTGACACCATGAATAACCTTCTCATCCACCAAATCACATTTGGCCAGTCTTCTTCGGTAGACAAGCCCTATGCTTGCAACCATTGTGAGAAGCGATTTGCTAAGAGGTCGCACTTGGGAATGCACCTTAAAACTCACACAGGAGAGCGTCCTTATGCCTGTCCTGACTGTGGCAAAAAGTTCACTAGGAGGTCAAACATGCTGACGCACTACCGTACCCATACTGGAGAAAAGCCATTTGCTTGCCCCAAGTGTGGCAAGAGGTTCACACAGAGCTCTCATATGGTGACACACCAAAGGACGCACTCCTCTGACAAATTCTACAGTTGCCCCGAGTGTAAGAAACGCTTTACTAAGTGGTCCTACCTGAACTTCCACCTCCGAACACATGGAATAGAAAAACTGAGTGTACCCTGACAGTTGCTGGGCTGCACCTGTTTCACAGACCAGCAGACTTAAATCTATCCATTTGTTATATGCTAAAAAAAAGTTTAAGGTACGCCCCAGTTAAACATGAAAATGTGTAATTTGAACAATGCAAACTTCATGCTGAGTGTCATTCATTTTCACCACCAGATTGTCCTGAAAGGTTGCTTCTGAATTTGTTTCTGAGAGGATGCAGGCCAAGAATTCCAATGTTTCAGCATCACCCCCTCTTCTGGGCCCGCTGCAGCCTCAGTCAACCATTTTGGAGTATGTGAGGGAGGTTGGACGGAATAGAATTGTGTTTCATGGGGCTGCAGTTTTACCCCAGAAGCAGAATGAGAACCCTAATACATCTGGCTATATGAGATTACTGGGAGACGCTCTGAATAATGGTTAAGGATTGTCAAATCTTTTGCAGTTGTATTATTTCCTGGACATCATTTTCCTGACTGATTTTACTTGCGCAGAAGGTTGCTTACAGTGGAATTGATGCTTAGACCACATCATTTTAAAACAATGCAGAAGTGCCAAAACCATTATTTGTATATCTTGTTACATGAACCTATAACTAGATATAACATGAACTACATACCAGCATCCTCTTTTGTAGTGTTTTTGCAGTCCTTAAAATGACCTGACCACTCCGCTTGTGTCTATACAAACTATGATGCAGCCCTCCAGATCTGCCCTCTGTGACTGACCTTGTCTGTCTATAAGGAGCTACTTTTCTTTGCAATGAGGAGAAATATTGGAGCGCGTGATGTGCTAAAAGATGACTCTCGGCCAGCATATTGACCTATTATTTCTTTGTGCGAGATCACATTAAAGCTTCAGTGATGGTGTTGTGCCTCAGAAGCAAGAGGAGTGGGTTCTGGGAAATGTAATCTCTAATGCTGGCCACACATGGATTCTTTCACATTCTCAGATCTACATTTTTTTAGCTGTTCAATAATGGTTAAAAGGCAGATACCAGGGATCTCATGGTTTAATGTGTACATGTAAATAAGGTTGCACAATGATTGAGAATTACCACAATATACTTTTGAGGTAGATGTTCCTTCTTGTTCCTGTGTAATGTACAAACAGACCAAACAAAAGAAAGCTTTTTCAGTATGACTATTATAGCTGTGTAATGTTCCTTTATGTTTCATATAATATTTTTTTTATTTGTAACTCTATCCAAACAGCAAAATAAACTCTTAAAACACATGCAACTTATGTTTACTGTTTTACCTGGAAAATTCTCCTTTTTCATGTGCTTATACTTAGCAGCTACTTAGAGTGGAATGCCAGCCTAAACCTTTCTAATTTTGAATAGAATGGGTAACAGTTAGAACCTTTTATTGCTAGAACTAGGGATGCACGAAATGAAAAAATTTGTCAGGCCGAAACCGAAAAATACTTTTTTCAAACTTTTTTAACATTGTATTATTTATTTTTTTACTTTACTGTTCAGGGCTTTGAGAAAATATCAGGAGTCTAAACAGAGCACTGATATTTCCCTTTTAAAATAGAAAAAGAGATTGAGGACACAGCTTCTTTTTCTGCAGCCCCATTTATGAATGAACAGGAAGTCTCTATACTGAGTGCTCCTGTCCATTCATGAACTGAGGAGATAGTATCAGTTACTATGTCCACAATCATGAATAAACAAAGAAGTGATGTAGATCACTTCCTGTTCATTCATAATTGGGGACACAGTAATGTCCTCAGTTATTTAGAAACACTCAGCGATCAGTACTGATTGCTGAGTGTTTGTGCTCCGCTTTCCATCCTGACTACTCCGCCTGTCACATGAGCCAAGCTCGCCTCCCACACCGCCCCGCTCAGCCTCCTGACAGCTTCTCTCCTCCCTGCTGGGCGCTGGCAGCTGAATCGCCTCGGTGTCTCCTCGATCCACGCTGTTTTGCAGACACAAGCAGGGGAGAGCAGCTGGGATCGTAGGGCGCACAGACTGGTGCCCACGGGGGGATTTGGGGGAGAGAGAATCTAGGGATGCACTGCATTTTCAGCAGTTTTGGTACTATCGATATTTTGCCCAAATTTCGGGGCATCCCTAACTAGAACATTTTATAGCTGTGATTCTGTTGGGTAGATGCACCCTCCGTATTTATCATGTTGACCATTGTTGCCAGAATACAGTGAACGAAAATCCAAAATTATACAGTTGTCACTGGAGCCCAAGTAAAGGGAATAACTACCACTTTTAGAAGAGTGGGCCTTTACTGGGTTAGATGTGGGGACACACTGGGGGCTTCAGCTGCCATTGTGATGTTCTGGACTTCTGCACCCACTTCATCCTCTGCTATATATGCTCCAATAGGGAGGCTCTCATAGATTAGAGTTATGACCACACTACACAAAGGGGCCTTGACGAGGCAGTGGGGCTTCCACATATTTTGCAAAAGTTGTGCAGCAAAAACCTGTTTTTAACCCTAGTAGTTAGACAGTGTAATTTTTTTTTTTTTTTTGCAGACTGGCTGGTGAGTGCTCAGAAATTCTTGTTTTTGTACTGTGTAAAGCCCTTCCATGTGCATCTTGCTTTAAAGCTAGTTATAAATTGATGAGCGTGTTTGGCATTTGTTATATTTGCTGGAAAGGGGGAACCTTTACCCTTCAACTCATAGGCCTGAGAGATCATTTACTGAATCCACCCAGTGATAGTGGAACAAGAAGCTGGCTGCCCCATACATGGGCCATCAGAAATGACCTCTTTGTGGAAAGTTAACTTCCTAGGTTTGAGTAATGTAGGAGTGACAGTGTCCGCTAAGCCTCTGTCCTTTAGGACCTGGCTTTTGACATTCAGGTTATTAAAGCCAGAGACTGAGAAACAGGATAGTATACCAGTCATTTGAACAGGAGGGTTGGATGATAAAGTAGTGCCCACGGAGAGTTTGCCAGGAGTTTTACTACATTCATGTACCACAATCCCCCAGGCCAGTAGTAAGCAATGAGGATCACCAGAAACTTTTCCAGTTTGTTGTACCTGGATGCCATCAGCTCCAAGTCCACGTCCAGCTTTCCCCACCTGCAATAAAGTGTCAAAAACACCTCCAGGTACAAGGACAATTCTCTGTGTTCCAGATATTGATGACTGAGGAACTTCCCCAGCCAATTTTCCATGCCTGGTTGGATGCATGCCAGGCAGGTCCAGGATGTGATGTTATGTCCAACTAGAATTAGGTTCACTTCTTTTTGAGCTGCGTGACTCCTGATGCCGCTGTGATGGTTGATGTAAGCCACAGCCATGCCACTGTCCAACTGAATCCTGATTGGATGGGCCTGCAATTGAGGGGTCCAACGTTAAAGGGGCAACCAAAACGTCCTGAGCTCAAGGATGTTGATTAGGAGTCAAGATTTCTCAGCTGACCAGGTTCAGGGACTGAACCCGCCTGTCTATTGCAGCCAGAATGTTGTGCTGCACAGCCTGGAGCAAAACTGAGCATAGGGGACTGCCTCAAAGTAGACCACCATCAACTACAGCACCTTTGTGCAAAAACAAATGGCCGAACAACCTCAGGATTGCAAGGTGTGAGCATGGGAGCGGAGAAACTAAATCTCTACTGTAGGAAGGAAGACCCTAGAGAGGCCAATGCCTGGTGCTCGAGCCAGTTGCTCCAAGCAGCGAGAAGGTTCCAGCATCAACTTCTGGAGATTCAGGACCTATCCAAAGTTTTGCAGGGCTTATATTGTCCAATGAATGTTAGGCTTGCAAGGACTGCTTTCTAGGGAGAAGGTCATCCAAGTATTCAACTATGAGGATCCACGGAGTCAAAACAGTGGCCAGCACCTTGGAAGGGCACCAGATTGGTGGTGTTGTGCACCCATGGCAAGACACAGGTAGCGTTGATGGGCAGGGAAAATGGGGATGGGCAAGCATCTGTGCTTGATGTCCGCTGATGCCAGAAAGTCTCCCCGGGGAAGGATCCGATTACAGAGTGGGTAGATTTCATACAGAACTGTTTGACTTTCATGAACCAATTGATAATATTCAGATCGAGAATAGGGTGGAAGCTCTCTTGCTTTGGGGACAGTAAACAGGTTGAAGTAAAACCCCTGAAATGTTTCTGCCTCTGAAACAAGGACTATGACCTTCTGAGAAAGGAGCCTTGGGCAGCAAAAACATCTGTCCAGCTTTAAGGCGATCTTGGTAGGTTTAACAGCAGGATGTGAAACTCTAATTTGCAACCCTTGGTTATGACTCTTGACCCAGGCATCCAGAATGACCCAGGGGGAGGAAATGAACCTTTCTAAAAGGAAGAAGCTGAGGATTCTGTTGCTGGAGGCTTGTACTACTATTATGGTAAGAAGGTGCTCTTGCCCCCGTTACTTCCGTCATGTAAGTATCCAAGGATTCGTCAAACAGACATTCCCCGGTAAAGGGAATGCTTTCAAGGCATTTCTTGCTTGGAAGTTCCACAGACCAGCATGTAAGTCATAGGACTTATAGGACATTGTGGACTAAAAAGGAGACAAATCCTGAGGATTCGTCTGATGGCATTTGTTAGGCTATCAACACAGCAGTGCAAAGATATAGGAAAGAGCTCTAGCCGAGTGGTGAGGCCGTGAAGATGGACCCAGGGTCCCTAGCCATAGCTTTTGACCACACAGATAATGTCTGGCATACCGCTATGATGGCAACAGTAGGTTGAATGGCAGGGCCTGCTATGGTAAATAGGGACTTAAAGAGTTTCCAATCTATCCTAGTAGTCAGTATTACATGGCAATCTCGTTGCTCGTTCATCTTGTGACATAAAAACGTCTAAAATGTGCACTCACTAGCTGTTTGTGGTCACTTTTTTAAGGGCTGACCAAAGACCACTTAATTACACCTCTTTCTCCCTGAGCTATTGGTGACCAATTTCAATAAGAGGAAAGCAGGAAGCCGCACAAAGGATATCGCTACATAGGATCATAGAGGATCTGATAGAGGCGATTTGGGAAAATTTTTGATTGGCAACCTTGACAGATACACCACAGAAGAGGAATAATTAATCGATCTTTGGCCAGCTCGTAAAAAAGGTGACCACAAACAGCTGGCGAGTGCAAATTTCAGACGTTTTACATCACAAGATCAAGATGAAGAGCAAGGAGATTGCCATATTAAGGTCCCCACACACTTTACGATAATCGCGGCAAATCCCGTTACTGCCCGTTCGGCATTGCAGTCAACGGAAGCCCGCCCCTCAGGGGGCGTGGCTTGCGATCATCGCAAGTACGATCAACCTATGCAAGATAGGCAGATCGTACGTTTTTTAAAGTACCCTACAACCATCGCAAGACAAAAGTCTTGCGATGGTCGTAAGGTGTGTGCCCAGCCTAATACTGACTACTAGGATAGATTGGAAACCATCATTAGGACTTTTTATTGGACATTTGTTTTGATATGGTTTCTAAATATACACACACACATTATTATTTAAATGAATGGGAAGGCTTTGTTTTCACATTTGCATAACTATGGTACATTAGTGACTTTGGATTGAGGAGGAGGGATGCTAACACTTAATGAATATATGAAAAACAGAAAGTTTTTTTATTTTAGCGCGGTGTCACTTGATTCACGATATTGGGAATAGTGTTTTCACAATTTTTTCAGCGCAGCAGCTAATTATACATTCACATAGCGCAGTAGTTTTATTAGTTTATTGCTAAGCCCTGGAGCTGACTGACGGGCTGAAGCTAATGTGGGGGGGAAAAAAGCAGCAGTGTCCTATGTGAGTAAAGGTGGCCATACACTACAACCATCGCAAGACTTTAGTCTTGCGATGGTTGTACAGGGATTAAAAAAACGTACGATCTGCCTATCTTGGACAGGCAGATCGCACTCTCGATCATCGCAAGCCCGCCCCCCTGAGGGGCGGGCTTCCGATGACCGCAATGCTGAACGGGCAGTGTGCGCGTGGGCACACCGGCCGGTTCGGCTTTTGTCTTCCGAGCACCGTTCTAACCAGCCAAGAATCGTACGATTCCCGGCTGGTTTTCGAACATGCTGGTTCGACAGAAGACGTGCAACCGTACAGTAGAAACGGTCGCACGTCTCCGTTCAACTGCTTGATTATCGTACGAAAAACCGATCGGATACAATTATCGTACGATAATCGTGCAGTGTATGGGCACCTTAAGATTGCATGATACATTACACCTTGCATTATTTATTGATGGGCTTTTGCGTGCCACCTTTTGCTTGCAGTTAATGTTATTACCAGCAGCCCATCAGTACTAATGAATGAAGGCAGTGATTGTAGCCCGTTATGTGAACCAATCAGGTTACTGCAGACTTATTCAAAAATATTTAGCAGACTTGGTCTCTCACAACCTCTCTTGGATTGAATCAAATGACCAATGAAGAGAGTGGGTTTTGCACAGAGCACGACTGTAAAGGGGTCAGATTTAATATTCTTTTGTTACATCTACCCATGTTTGTTGGCGTGATCAGCAAGTTGTAGATATACTAAAGTTCTGAGATGTAGATCAAAAAACGAAATGATTGAGAAAGGCTGGTCTACACCTTCACCGACAGCTCAGCCCTTCAGTCAATGTTCAGACATTATTCCCCCGACTCCACCTATTCTTCCAATGATTCTAATTTAATGTATAGACTTGTATTTTGAGGAACATTTCCTTTACACCGGAAAATACTTCGCATTTTAAATGCTGTCATGTGACATCAGTCCACAGAGCATTACCATGTCAAGAATTTAGGGTGTAGAGAAAAAAAAAAAAAAAAAAAAGGAGGAAATTTTATGGCATGTTTGGCCGGTTTTGGAATACAGGAAAGGTCAGAGCCTTAGATTGCTCCTTGAAAATATATCTTTGCTATGTTTACATGGACAAACATTCAAAAGAGGATCTCCACAAAATGTTTGACCTTGAATAGTGTTACATGCACAAAAAAGTTCAACAAGGTCACACTCCTTAACCACCTTCCGTCCATGGCCGTTTGTGAACGGCCAGACAGACGTCTGCTAGGAGCGAGAGGGCGTCTTAAGACGTCCTGCCCCTCCCCCCTCTCGTGTGCGCCACTCAGCGCGCACACGAGAGGGGAAACTGTAAGCATGTAAACAGCCAGCGACGGCTGTTTACATACAAGCGATCTCTAGAGACACCCGATCGCTTGCAGGAGCTGCGGGTGTGCGGCCTCCCCACCCCCCCGTACCTCTATCCCGCCGTCTCCTCTGCCGGTCCATGATCCGATGTGGCCGTTGACCCCGTCTTTTATATTATACCAAAAAATTGGGGTGAAAATAAATGTTTCATAACATTTTATAGGGAAACATGTTTTTTTTACAAAATTTAGGGTACTTTTTTGTTATATAGTAAAAAATAAAAACCCCAGCGGTGTTTAAATACCACCAAAAGAAAGCTCTGTCCCCAAAAAATGGTATAAAATTCATTTCAGTACAGCGTTGCATGACGGAATAAACGTCAGCCAAAGTACCGCAGCGCTGAACACTGAAAAATGGCCTGGACAGGAAGGGGGTGAAACACCGCAGTCTTCAAGTGGTTAAACGGCAGAGATCTACAATAAAAACCCATCCCTAGCTCTCCTTAATAACTTCCCTGATGATTTTCCTTCAACGAAACAGAAACTTATATTACATGTGCTCTCGGCGGCCAAACATGAAATTGTCATATCATGGAAATCCCCTAACCTTAGTATCTCTAAAACTAAACACTATATTTCATGGATCATGTCCCATGAAAAGAGACTTGCACAACAAAACAACCTCATGGTAAAATTTGATGCCGTCTGATCTCCCTGGGTACATTTCCTACCACCTAACTTTGATCGACGATTGCCCACTATTCCACCCACATTCCATTTCATCCAACCTCTCTTTTCTTTCTTGGACTTGTGTCTGCCCTTTCTATCCTATAGTTTATTAATACTTGGCTATGGATGACTCCTGTCTACATGCCGTGCACAATATTGTTTAATACTACGCCAGTTCATACTCTATGTAATGTACAACATTAATATGCTGTCCTTGGCATCTTAGCCTTATTGGCCGTAAATGGACCTATTTCTTCCTCCCCTCACGCTGTCTCTTGTTCTTCGTTTTCTTTGACGTTTGTACGTCTGGAAAATTATAACATTGAAAATTGCAAAATTGACGCTGTAATCTTTAATGATGCTTAGCTGTATCTGTGCAATTTTTCAATAAAAAAAACCTTAAAATTTAAAAAGTTCAACTAGACACAAGAAAGTCTATAAACCAGATTTTATTTGATTGCAAGAGAAATTTATGCTGCTGGCTTGGTAGCCTCTTTCTGGAGTTTCTTCATTTCATGTCTAATGATCTTGTTCCTCTGTAAAACAAAATACAAGAAAACTGGTAAGTCAGTATAACAGACTGGATGCACAAAAGCTAAAACATTCAAGTGTGGCCAAATTTCAAACAAAGCTTAGATACCACCCTCTGCTGTACAATGGTGTTACTCCAAACCGTGGTCTGCGTTTTACAACACCACTGTGCAACGCGTACCGTATCCCGTGAAGTGGTTTCCGCTTAACGCTAAAGAAAACTCCACGGTTGGAGGGGAGGCCGGTCACATGACCAAACTCTTCTCTC